CACTAGTTGAAAGACTGGCAATTGGAACCCACCCAGAGTTGTCATGGAAAACAGACCTGACGAGTTGCCTCTGAAGGTTCACAGCCTTGAAAACTCTGTGGAGTCACCATGAGTTGGAAACCAAAGGTAGCTAATAATAGTCACCAGAATATTAACAGAATTCTATTATTTTAGGAACACCCCGGTTTTGATGTTTTGTTATTGCAACCCTATGAAACTAATACAGATTGTCATTTGAAAGCCACAGACAGGAACCCATTAAGAAAATATTTGTCTTTCCACTTCCTTCCTACAGGGTGGCTTCATCACTGCTCATGAAACAGTCATTGGTGTATTTTTTCTTGGGATATTTGTGGATTAATTGCTTCCTAGAGTTCCCTGCTCAGTGGCAGAAAACAACCCTTGGGAGATTTTGGTGTCTTCAGCTGACACATTGGCAAATATTAGTGACAGTACCCAAGACAATGACTGCCTCTGAACTATATCACAGGGCAGGAGTGGGAAAATAATGGGTGAGGTTGATAGAAGGCTCCTTTTACTGTTTTTATTCCCTTTCAGGGACTTTCTGTAGACCCAGCTTCTCATCTTATCAGGTCCCAGCATTTGCATTCCTCTTTACATAGATGACAGGAGTGACTTAACCAAGGAAAAACAGCAGAGGATTATGAATTAAAAACCAACTTTATGAATTCCAGACATCTATTGCTGTGGGATAAAGCATTGGACTGCAAGTTCAGTTTGAACCACAAGGTCAGCAGTTCAAACTCACCAGCCACTCCTTGGAAACCCTCTACAGGGACTCTATGAGTCAGACTCCACTCGATGGCACATAACAACAACAAAAAGACTCTCTCTCGAAAGGAATAGCCAGAAATATCACCATAGAAAGCTTTTAAGTCCGTCTTCTGCCTATAACTGACTGGAATAAATAAACCTAAAATGAAGCTACAATATGCCCAGTAAAGGAGGCTTCCTGTGGAGCCTTTGCATTACATAAGACCATAAAGGGAATCCTGAACAGCATCCAGAATCTTCTGAGGTATGAAATTTCCACTGGAAATGAGAAGCAGACCAACCTGGAGCAGCTAGAAGAACAGAAGATACTTCTTGAAATAAAGACCGACAGGAAAATTACAAAACAATAACGGCAGTCCAACTGACTACTACAAGAACTAGCAAGTTGCTCTCCTAGGAGACATCAAGGCAAGTGGTCGGGTTCCCTCAGGGCAAACCCCTTCCAAGACTAAGACGCAGTAGGAATTCATGAGCAGAAATGCACTCTGATTGATGACCACATTCGTCACTGATAAGGGGAAGTGAGGGAAAAACAGCAATGAAGCTGTGAGCTAAGCCCTACCATGTTCAACAGACTCTTGTGAACCTGGGTGGAGACCTGATTGGCCAGCAGTGTGGCAAGACCCGGGGACCACTGGGCCCAGAGTCAGTGACATAGCCACAGAGGACTAGAGTGGAGAGTGAAGTGTCCAGCTGATAAGAAGAGAGGGCATATGCATAAGAACACCCACACTTGCAGATAATACCCACTTGACCTGGCTTCAATGTCTAGATGAAGAAGAAAGAAGAGGAAAAAAAGAGTGATTTGATGAACTTGACCTACACCTTTTTGCAGTAGCTCAAAAAAGGGAACAAATCTTTATAGCGAGGATTATTTCCACTCCCTCGATATACAGGGTAGACAGGAATGGGCATATTGGACATTGGCTACCCAAAATGAGGGTGGGGAGCTACAAAGGCAAGAAGTGATTGGCTTACAAGCTTTCAAGAGGGAGCCTAGATCCAGAGGGTGGGAGGAGGGTAGAATCTCCACAGAATAGTATCCAATCTGTCTGGGCGGGGCTGTGAAAGGAGATGGGGATAGCACTTATGTGGCACAATAGTGAATAATTGCTAACAGGACTGACTATGAGGGTTGGAAATGTAAAGGTGGATGTTTTGTAGCAAAATGTAAAATGACTTTGCATTCTAGGAGTGGTGGTCCCTGGGACCCAAGGGAGAAGATCAGAGTGTGGGACCCTACCCAGAGAAACAGTAACACCAGAGATGGAGGCAGGGACGATGACGTGGAGATATGGAGCGGCTGGAAACTCTAGATCCAGAGAAGGAGAGGGTCTTTGTACTGAGGGGCAGGCTTGTGGGGTATACCCTTTGGTTGTTTGATCATGCATGGAGAGGACTGTAACTATGGCAATGAAACGACGGTAGGATGAATGTAAAGCTAATGTTCTCCCATGTAAGCTATCACATAATTCACAATAAAACATTTTTAAAAATGATAAATTAGGGGGAAATTAGGATACGATAAGAAGGCAGGGGACTGTAGAGGTAGAATAAACCTTGGATTTGTTTCTGAAGATGAGGAGGAAAAAAAGACTCTCTTAGGGTTGATAGATCATACTAGCAACCCTCTGTCACTACTCTAGAAGGGCAAATGTGCAAGTTCTGCTTCTGGAATTTACCGTCTGTCTCATTCTCTTCCTGTAAGTGGTCCCATTGCGCAAGAACATGTAAACAGCATGTGTGCAGAACAATGGTTCCAATCTGATTTGAAATGGTGATATAAAACAGTTCCACCATATGCCCTCAATTCCACTCTCTGAATTAAAGGCTTCCTCTTTATTTTTGACCCCTTCATTTTTAGGAGACTGGAACAAAAATGGACTCCTGGTGTGTCACTGTAGGATCAGTAATGAACTGCTAACCACAAGGTCGGCAGTTCAAAACCACCAGCTGCTCATTGGAAACCCATACAGTGTCGTTATAAGTAGGAACCGATTTGATGGCATTTAACAATAACAACAAAAACAAAAATTACTTTTGTTCTGAGATATATTTGTATCTTTTGAGGTAACTGGAAATGTCACCAGAGTGCTAACAAAACAAACATTTGGACAATAATTGATATTTGTTCAATTAGCTACTTCCTATTGGCAGCATAACATCTAAGTTGGATTCTCCACAACTGTCAGAATTGATACTTGGATTGTTGAAAGCGGCACTTCTCAAATTTTAATATGCATACAAATCACATAAGAATCTTGTTACAAGAGACTGTATTGCTTGTTGTTGTTAAGTGTGGTTGTGTCAATTCTGACCCATAGCGACACTGTATAGAGTTTCCGAGGAGAAGCTGGTGAGCTTGAACCACTGACCTTGCAGTTCAAACGGCTTTGTAGTCTGGCGCATTAACCCACAGTGCCACACTCCTAAATGATGATAATGCTTGTCCACAGATCACATGTTAGAGCATGGTTGAGAGTAACAGAAGCCTTGGCTGTTCCATCTTTCCTCTCCATCTGTCCTCTTCCAAAGGGCCCACATGCCCTCCTGTATACAGCAATAGGTCACTGCTGAATTTGCTTACAGTTTTACACCCAGATGCTTTGCTTAGTACCTATTATGGTGAGGTAGAGGGGTTTTTGGTTGGAGGATAGGTGGGTGGGTGAAAACAGCTTGATGGCTAGGTGGTTGTTGTTTTCTTTTGTTTTCTCTGACGCTGTTCAAATGGGAGAATGCTCTTCTGGCTCTTGTGACCCATATTAGCAACATGAAAGACACAGATGAGGAAGGGGCTTCAGAAGGATGTGGAGTGAATCTGAGATAAGATTCTTTGCTCTGTGGGTGAGTTAAGGTCAAGTTATGTTTTCCTACAGCCCAGGAAGCATTGCGTAAACAGTTTTATCTCCTTTTCTCCATCTGTATAATAGGGGCTAGGGTTGAACCTGAAGTGCTCAGAAATGTCTAGATGTTGATTTGCTAAGTATTACAGAAGGATCATAGGCGTATATCAGGAACTAGGAGTAACCAGTAAAGAAGCAATTTGTTTTTTTTCCTTAAAGCCATTTTTCTATGTCAGACCCAATAAGAACTCAAAAGATACACTGAAGTCAAAGACTGTCTCCTACTTCCTTGGGAAAACCAAACCGGATGCCTGGGCCTGATAGAAAGTAAGTGGATTCCTTACAGAAAGAAAATAAAATAGCATGGGCCATGTTCAATTTTCCCTTTAGTAGAATTATAGGGTCCTAGCTCTGGGAGAGACCTTAAAGATCATTGAGGCCAACCTCCACATTTTATACAGGGGGAATCTGAAGCTTGGGCT